TGTTATTATTGCACCAGCTATACTCGGGAACGGATCTAAGAGTGAGGTTAGGGCTATCAGGCAAGCTATCGAACAATATTGAAACTAAAAGAGGAGTCAGGCAAGGATGCTTGCTAGCACCTTTTTTGTTTAACTTCTACGTGAACAACCTAGTGGCCGAGTTGAGTTCCCCTGAACATTTTCCGCCATTAGTAGGTAATAGGAGAATCCAAATCCTATTATATGCGGATGATATGGTGCTCCTGTCAGCTACGCAAATAGGTCTCAGGAGACTTTTGAGGTCACTAAGTAGAATTTGTAAACAAGAGAAGCTGACAATCAATCACTCAAAAACCAAAGTGATGGTATTTTCCAAAAGGAAGCAAAGACACACTTGGAAATTGGATGGTCACTCAATAGAGCAGTGTGATAGCTTTAAATACTTGGGCTTACACTTCTCACATAATGGTAACTGGAAGAACCACATAGAGGCAGCCAAATTATCTGCCTGGAGGTCAGCGAAGTCAATCCTAGCCTTTGGAAAAACAAAGGGAGGTTCCCTGGTATGTCCCACAATAAAGATTTTTGCCGCTAAAATTTTACCCCAAATGTTATACGGAGCGGAAATTTGGGGGCAAGGTAATACAGAACAGGTTGAATGTATTCAGAACAAGTTTGCAAGAGCTCTTCTAGCCCTTCCCCCTGGGACCCCAGCTGCCCTGTTAAGACTGGAATTAGATCTTCCCTCACTTAAGGCCAGAATGCATAAACTTATCATCTCGTATGGGAAGAGATTGCTAGGAATGGAGGAGGAGAGCATAGCAAAGCAATGCCTGAGGGAGCAGTATAAACGGGGAGGATGGGTGCAATCCTGGCTAGCCTTGCTCCATCAGTATTTCGATGGGTCAATAACAACTCTAATGCAGCTGGACAAGAAGGAGATTAGTGATAAAATCTTTGAGATGGATGCAGCTGGCAATTTGGAGATTAGTAAAAAGCAAGGTTTTTCTACATGGTATCCCAGACTAAAGAGTGACCAATACTGCCAACAATATCTTCAAGATCTAACGTCTTCAGAGTTGAGGAAAGCCTTTACAGCCCTGCGCTTCCAAACAATGCCCTCAAACTGGCTAGAAGGGAGATACAAAGGGATCCCCCATGCCCAAAGGCTTTGGATTTGTGGCTCCGGGGATAAAGAAGATCTAACACACTATCTATTACATTGCCCTCTGTATAATGATCCCAGAAAAAATCTCCTGGGAACACTCCTTGAAGAAAGGGCAGCATGGCAAGAATCGGCCGTGATCGGTGACTTGCTAGCAGATTATGACAAAAATATAACACTAAAAGTAGCTACATTTGCAATCGCAGCCCAAAAGATCAGAGACAGAGTAGCAAAATCCTCGTTGGAGACCAGATAGGGAAAGGGAGATGGTTAAGGAGGACACATACTATTGTTAGGTTTCTGCCAGCAAAATGTTAAAGTTCTAGTTTTTTAAATTTTGAATGGGTTTTGGTTTATATTGGAATGTGTTTATAAAGGTTGTATGTTATTGATGTCATGGCCTATGGCTAGTGCAATAAACTTTATTCNGTGTTTTTAAAGGTTGTATGTTATTGATGTCATGGCCTATGGCTAGTGCAATAAACTTCATTCACTCAAGATTCTAATCATGGGTCTCTTAATATTTTTAATTAGAGACTCCTATGCTATTATATTGGGCCTTCCACATTTACTGAGGTTAAGGGGATAGGATCCCCTTAAAGGTGGAAAAAACATTAATTTAAAAACATCATTTTTCCTCTGAGCAAAAAAATCTAGGAACCCATTGGTTATCTAGTATGACTCTATGATCAACTTCCATTAGATTCCTAGAGAGACTATTTTAATTAAATCTGCAAAAGTCAAACTTGGGAATGTGGATGGCCAATTGCACTTAATTTAAGGCTAATAGATAGAAGACTGAGTTGTGTTAAAATAATTGATTTTACTAAAGGCCCAGGATATTGCAAACATTTCTGCTACTCAGATTTTTTGGGTACAGATGTATGAGCAGAAGAAAGGATATCTCTGTGGAAGAGGGAATAAATATAACAGCAATTCTGGATCTACAATAATTTCTCAAGAGGAAGTTTTTTTTGGAACAGGATGTCTGAGAGAAAGGTCTTCTACCTAGCTCTGATTAAAATGGTATTACCGTAATGATGATAAATCCAATGTAGATATGCCCATCATAATGCAAGTCACTCATCACATTCTGGTTTCGGTTTTCATTCTTACATATTAAATGGGGGAAGGTGGAACTGTCCCTTCAGAATACAGGCTGGGAACTAAATCCTAGGAGCAACCAGACTAAGATTTATGGCATTAAGATCTATGGCATAACATCACATCCGTCTGTTATGAATAAGTGTCATTTACCTGTCTAAAGCATAGAGCTCTGTTTACTCACAACAGAGAAAGGTATTGTAAAAATTTGACAGATTTAGCTTCTATCACTGCAACAACTCTTTAGTGTTGTTCATGATAAGCAGATAATGTACATGCCTCTGTTTCTTATGCTTCGGATATTGTACAGATTAGTTTCCTGCTTAAATGTTATTAACTGTATTGCTGTATCAGAATGTTAATTTTGTACGTCGCCTTTTAAACTCATTGTCATTTGTCATGAGTTAGTTCTCTGTCTATATAAAATGAGGCTGGATCAAGATGTGATTGCCTGGCAGTGATTCAGAAAAACCTAGGGAATTTGTTATAATTTGAGCTTTCATGTGACTCAAAATTTATAAAGTTTCCATTAGTTTGAAAAGCAGTCATTGATTTTACTGAGCAGCAGTGTCGTATTAATTCATTGCTTGCTAAACTGCACAAAAAAGCTGTATTTGACTATAACACATCTAATAGGAATTAGGTTCCATGAAAAACGTATGAACACACTTCCAACTATATAGGATGTCTGAGTTCAACTTTGTGTATAAGTACTTTAATTTGGGGACAACCAGCTTCTGCATCCTTGTACTTTAGTTTAGTCCTCTCTCTCTTTCAACTATAATCTGTCCACGAGAAATGAACATGGTTTATAAAGGATCTCTAGACTGCTCCGTCATACAGTCTCTATCCCTGCCTTATGTTATCCCAGTCTTATCTTTGTAGGGAAGGGCTGCAGTTTCTATACAGATGCAACTAACCATCCTCGGCCTGGGAGGGCAAACTGTACCCTGGGGCTGCATGCAGCTCCTAATGGTTTCAGCGAAGACTTTTACCATTGCTTTTTCCTATGTCAGTTACTCTGCATTTGGAAACGCTTGTTCAAAAAGCCACGTCTTGACTTTTTTCCGGAATGTTAAAAGGGAAGTGGTCGATCTAATATCTATAGGGAGGGTGTTCCACAGCCGAGGGGCCACTACTGAGAAGGCCCTGTCTCTAGTCTCCACCAAACATACTTCTGAAGAAGGCGGTAATGAGAACAGGGCCTCCTCAGATGATCTTAAGGTCCTAGATGGCTCATAAGGGGAGATGTGTTCGGACATGTAAGTTGGGCCAGAACAGATAGAATTACCAGTCCTGTGCCCCTTGGGAGTAATTTCAGTAACAGAAGGGGCTGTTTTGAGAGAGTGGGCGCACAGGTTTGGCAATATTCTGGTTATTATGAATTGTTAAAAGGCAGAAACCAACTCTGGACCCTTCCAGACAGGCCCTATATCCCAGGATCTGATCCCAGGTTTTCTGCTTTAAACTGGATTATATGAGTCCCCACTGCCAGTTAATCTGGGATAAATAGAAATCTGGGATCAGATCCTGGGATATAGGGCCTGTCTGGAAGGGCCCTCTGAATGCTGTTTCGTTCCGTCATTAGGATTTTGATTCCTTTTTACTTTCAGTTTCACTCTCTTGGTTTAAGGCCCACTGGTGTTGAGAGAGGCGCCTCTTGACAGCTGGCCTTGTGGAGAGCAACAAGCAATGTGGGAGGGGGAAGTCACTCGTGGGATCCTCATTGGGTGGGACTCTGACATTCCGGCCAATCGAAATCCACCGGCCCCTCCTGCAGTAGCCAATCCCCGCCGGCCTGTAGCGCTCGCGCCGTCAGGGTACAGGTTAGGTCTTCGCTGTGGCAGGCCGGCGGCGCGGAAGCAATGGAGCAGGGCGGCTACGGTGAGTGGGGCCCGGTCGGGCAGGAGGGACAAGCCTGGGGTCAGGAAGCCCTGCGCCTCCGGGAAGCGTCCCCCACAGTTGTGCGCCCAGCCTGGGCCTCGCCGCATTCCCCGTTGGCCTTTAAGCAGCGAGCGGTGTTGATTGGGCCCCGAGGTTGTCTCTCACCAAGTCTCGCTTTGTGACTGGAGAGCTGCTTGGCGCGCGGATTGTGGTCTGCGAGGGAGGCGGGGCCTGAGGTCTGTGAGCGAAAGCGGCACAAAATGGCGCGGAGGCGGATTATTCTCTGCGTCAGGGCGCTTTTTTTGTAGGTTGGCTTTGAGAACCGGGTCCTGGGTCTTGCCTCTTTTGGCCAGTTCCTCAAACCTCCCCTTCGAGCGAAATGTTATCTGCAAGGTCGCCAGCGTCATTTTTGTGACAGGCATCTGGCCTAAACTCTCCAAAGGCACCAGATCTTGTCTGGTTTTGGAAACTAAGCGGCCCTAGTTAGTACAGGTCACTTTCCCGAAATATCTGGGATCAGGGTTGCATCTACACACTGTAGAACTAATGCAACTTGATACCACTGGCTGCCGCAGCTCAATGTATGTTGGTTGTAGTTTCACGAATTAATGGATGAAGCTTTATTTATATCCCGCCCCATCTCCCAAAAGGAACTCGGGGCGAATCATAACAAAACAATAACATCAGTGCATTGTCGAAGGCTTTCATGGCTGGGATCACTGGATTGTTGTAGGTTTTTTGTGGGCTATATGCCATGTTCTACAGGCATTCTCTCCTGACGTTTCGCCTGCATCTATGGCAAGCATCCTCATAGGTAGTGAGGTCTCATTACCTCTGAGGATGGAGCCCCCGGTGGTGCAGTGGGTTAAACCCATGTGCTGGCAAGACTGAAGACCAACAGGTCACAGGTTCGAATCTGGGGAGAGCACGGGTGAGCTCCCTCTATCAGCTCCAGCTCACCATACAGGGTCATCCCGGTGTCCCCTGGGCAACGTCCTTGCAGACTGCCAAAAAAAACCCCCAAAAAGCCTCTGAGGATGCTTGACATAGATGCAGGCGAAACGTCAGGAGAGAATGCCTCTAGAACATGGCATATAGCCCAAAAATAACCTACAACAACCCAATAATATCAATAATAATAATAAAGCACATAACAAGTAAAACAATTTAAATCACCAAAAACAAAACAAGGCATAATAAATAAGATGGAGCATAACTCAAGAATGTCACAACCCTTTAGCTTTCTCTGCCAAAGGGCGATAATGCCGCACCAAACTACAATTCCCATGATTCCGTAGCACTGAGCCATGGCAGTTCAAGTGTTGTCAATGTGCATTCATTCTGCTGCATAGGTGTGCCCCAAAAGTGTTTGGGATTCGGATTTAAAATATTTATATTTGCATACATGCACCTAATGAAATATCTTAGAGGTGAGAAACAAAAGTAAATACTAAATCCATGTATATTTCATACACACATAACAACCTGAAGGTAATATTATACACAACCGTTTTAACAATTCTGTATATGAAACAGTATTTGTAATTGAACTATTAGTAGGCAAAGATGTCACTACTTCAGCCACCATATGTGCAGGTTTAGAATATGTTAGAATTCCAGATAAGGATTGCTTCATTATATTTGGATAGGAGCCTGCCAACACATACCAGATGCTGTAGGCTGTCTTTCAGAGGAAAGAACTGGCAAAACCACCTTTGAGTATTCCTTGCCTAAGAAAACCCTATAAAATTCAAGGGGTTGCCATGGGTTACTAACATGCCGATCCCTATGGCAAATAAAGTGTTCCTTGGCATGCAAATGATAACAGTCTGGGGGCATTTGCATGTTGAACTGTTGTATGTCATTGGGGAACTCTACAACTTGTGGTGTGGGATATACCAGCAAGGGAGAATTTGACAGTAATATCTCTTCTCAGCAAGTTCACACCCACCAACATTTCACAGAAGAAAACCGGGATAGGTGTGGCCAAGCAACATTAGAGTTGGTTAAAATTACTGTTCAGAAGAATTCCCCTCCGTTTCTGTCCCTGTGAAAATTGGGCTTATTGTAGAAACAAGGATTAGTGATAAAGCTTTAGTGGAGACACCTTTTCCCCATGATAATTCTTTCAGTTGTGAATTTCCCTTCCTATGGGTAGATTTCGCTCACTTCCTGTTATCTCACCCCCATTTTTCACTATCAGTTGATTGTAAGTTGGATGTTTGTAAGTCGAAGACTGCCTATATCACATTACACATCACACTTTCTATTTATTACCTTTAAATACAAAGTATGAATAGCAATTTTTACAGGTACATAAGTGATAAATTTTCATTTGGTAGAAGAATGAGGGGAAACCTTGAATGATTTTTTTTTGGAAAATGTATTAATTACTCTACCCTTACTAAGACTTATTTTTAGAAATAAAGTAAGATGCATAGGATTGCGCTAATGAGTCACTCATGGGATAGTTGTAAAACAGAATTGTGTAAAAGAATGTAGTTTCAACATTCAGAAGTTAGACATTCGAAACTGAATTTGTTTATAAGAGCCAGCAAATTTGGAATACCTTCCTCCAAAAAATGCCTTGAAAAAGTGGACTAGTTTTTTTGCTGGTTTTTTTTTCCCCAGTGGTTTCCTTGCAGTTGGGTTTTGTGAGTCTTGTTCTTTCTTTAGCCCCTCCAAACTTCAGTAGTGCATTCAGTAGCTTTGGCTATGTTGGGTCAGACTGTTTAGAGTTGTAAGCCAAAATATTTGGAAGGCATCGAGTTCGTTACTCTTTATTTAAATGGCTTAAAATATTATATGCTATAGGTTTAGTTACAGGGGCTGTAACGTAAAGGCTTTGTATTAGGAAAAGCAATGAAACAGTGATATAGAAGTCCCAAACAAAGTGAGCAGTGGAATTTTTACTTGTATGAATGACCCATTAAATATTTGCCTTACAGGTTATGGCTCCTGGGGTACTGATACCTCAAATACTCAAGGTATGTCATTGACCTTCATAGATAGAAAAAAGAAAAATAATGACTAATAGTGTTGACCATAATAATGCCAATGTTAAACTCAATCACAAATAACATTTTTAGAAGAGTGAACTGATATTCATTCTTACCTTTTGAACTGTACTTGATTTCATTTTTTTTCTTTTGAACTCTTGGCTCTAAATCCAATCACTAGACCTTGGTAGACTCATTATACTGCTCAGCATATATTTTTTTGTATCAAATGTTAGGTATGTTTCTGGAAATACTTGATCTGCTGATTCCATAAATTGTAGCAGTTTCCCCCTTATTAGCTCAATATTTTGAGATACAAAACATGCCAGTCATCATCTGCTTGCCTATGGAAAACCATGATAAATTATATCTAAGAAATTAGAGCTGTTGCAGTATATCCAGTGCAGTTTTCTGAATCCGTGCCCAAGACACCAAGAAAGTGTTTTTTATTGGGCTGTGTAAAAATATTCAACTTAATATCTAGTAGTTGAATCAGTGGGACTACTTGGTGGAACTGACAGTGGGATTTAGAGCTGTATTTATGCGCCCCCTGGTTGTGCAATGGGTTAAACCACTGAGGTGCTGAACTTGCTGACCAAAAGGTTGGCAGTTTGAATCTGGGGAGTGGGGTGAGCTCCTGCCGTTAGCAGAGGCGGCCCTAGGTAATTTTCAATGGTAAGCAAACAGTATTTTGGCGCCCCCCCCCCCAAAAAAAAACCAATTACACACACACACACACACACACACATATATGGGCATGGACAAATTTTGGTCCTCCAGGG